GTTGCAAATCACATGGGTGACTCCAGGCAAGCAACTGAAGCCCTGTGTGCCTCAGTGTCCTTATCTGAAAAAGGGGGTGATAATCATAGTATCTGTCTTCCAGGGATATTGTGAGGATGAAAGATTAATTGCTAGAAATGTGCCTGGTGCAGAGAAACTACCTCATGTGTGCTTTGCACACCCAAAGCCTTCTTTTTTATATTTATTTATCCTTGACCTGCGGGCTGTCTCCTCTCACTCCGTGGTGTGTCTCATTTGTTCTCCTCTGTGCCTGAGCCAGCACATGGCACATCATATTTTCTCAGTAAATATTTGTATTCATCAGCCTGGCCAACATGGTGAAACCCCGTCTCTAGTAATAGTACAAAAATTAGCCGGGTGTGGTGGTGGGCACCTGTAATCCCAGCTACTTGGGAGGCTGAGGAGAGAGAATCGCTTGAACCCGGGAGGCAGAGGTTGCAGTGAGCCAAGATCATGCCACTGCACTCCAGCCAGGGTGACAGAGTGAGACTCTGTCTCAAAAAAAAAAAAAAAAAAAAGGTATTCATTTACCGCCTTCATCGAATGTCACCCTACCCCTTAAAATGCCACCCACACCTGTTTTCCCACCCACTACTTTCGTTTCCAATCATTCCTAATGGTCTGGGTCCATTGGATCCCAGCATCACCACTTGTTAGTGCCACTGCCTCGGGCCAGTTTCTCCTCTGGTATAGCTGGGAGTCCCTAAGACCACCCTCAGTTTCCATGATTCACTGGAAGGAATCACAGAACTCAGAAAAATTGTGATAGTCAAGGCTATGGTTTATTATAGCAGAAGGATACAGAATAAAACCAGCAAAGGGAAGAGCCACATAGGGCGACCCCATCAGTCTCCCTGATTCCTTAATTATCCCGCAGCAACACATAGGGCAGAGGCCGAGAGAGACCAGCATGAGCTGCCGGATGTCCTCTCTCAGTGAAGTCCCGTGGACAGTGCTCAATTCTCCCACCAATGACATGTGGCAACAGTGATGTGTTGCCAGCCAGGGACACTTACTTGGGCCTTGGTGTCCAGAGTCATTATTGGGGTCAGCCGTGTAGACTTGTGCTGAATATTGCTGAGAGATCGAGACAGACAGTAAGAACAGCTGAGATCTGATGCACCCCAGGTGTCCTTCCATGCGTTGGCCAGGAGTGATCTCATTTTAGCCCATCCATGACCCTGTTAAATAGACATCCCCATTTTTCCAGACAAGGAACCAAGGCTCATTGAGGGGAGGTCACTTGCCCGAAGTCCCACAGCTAATAAGAGGCAAATCCAGGAGTCTGATCCTTGAACCTCTGCCCTACAGATGTGGCCTTGGACATGGCTGCACACCCTCACGTGAATTCCCTCACTCAGGATGTACTGAGCCATTGTTCCGGGGCAGGTACCATTCAAAGCATCACGGATGCTGTTACAGCCAAGGCTACAGTTTATTACAGCAGAAGCATGCAGAATAAAATCAGCAAAGGGAAGCGCCACATAGGGCAGAGGCTGAGAGAGACCATCCCGAATGAGAACGTCCCTGTGCTTGGGGGCTTACATCTTAAGAAGGGCAAGCAGGCAATGGGCAGATGAGCAAATGAAGATATGACTTGCCAAAGGGTGGTAAGTGCCATGGCCAGAAGGAGCCAGAGAGAGATAGGGTGTTTGCTTAGTTGGGAAGGTCAGAGAAGACCTTGATGACGTGGTGTTTGAGCAGAGATGATAATTATAATGACCACTTTCAGAACACTTACTATGTGTTGGATACGTAGTAACAGTAATATTATATGTACCGGGCAATGTTCTAAATGCTTGACTGCATCTCATCTTTCCAATCACAGAGATGCTCTTATTATCATCACTTTACAAATGAAAGGGAGGTTAGGGAAGTTGGCAGAAAGGCATACAGCCAGGAAGCAGGGGCTCCAAGATCTCAGCCCAGGGATCTTGGCCTCAGAGGCCATGCTTTTCACCATTGTCCTGCCTCTCAGTGCATGGAGAAAGGAATGTTCAGTTCCTAGAAGGGAGAATCAGGGAATATGGAGGTTAAGGAGGAAACTGAGGCACAGAGGTTAAATTACCGGGTTCAGAAGTGGTGGGGTAGGACTCAAAGCTAAACGATCTGCCTCCACAATCGAAGCTCATTACCACTAGACCAGTCATCCTTAACTTAAGCGTGCATAGGAGTCCCCTGGAGGGCTTGTCAAACTAGATTGCCGGGGCCGCTCCCAGAGTTTCAGGCTCAACACGTCTGACGTGGCCCCGAGAAGGTGCATTTCTGTCAAGGTGCCAGGAACCGATGGTGATGCTGCTGGTCCAGGGCCCACATTTTGAGACCCACTACCTAGACTGCCTCTCAGCACACGGAGGAATGAATAGCCAGCTTCCGGCGGAGGAAACTGAGGCTCAGAGAAGCTAAAAGTGTCATGTGCAAAAAATCACATAGCTGTTAGACTGTGGTGCCCGGATCTCAAACCCAGGCAATCTGGCTCCAGTCTGTTTTTAACCATTTCTCTGCACTGCCTCCTGCCGGTCAAAAGAATAAATGCATATGCAAGCAAGAATGAATGGGTTCCCATTTCCGTAGAAGGGGAAACCGAGGTCGGGGAGCTGGGCGGGGAGACCCCAGCATCCTCTGACCTCTTTCCTTGCCTCCCTGCCCCCGCCCGCAGGTGAAGCTGGTGTTCGTGGAAGACCAGGCAGTGGTGGAGACGGTGTTCTTTCTGACGTCACGCACCAGGGCGCTGCTGCGGCGCTTCCCGCGCATGCTGCTGGTGGATCGGCTGCCGGGGCTGCAGGGCGCGCTGGATCTGCTGGCCGTGCTGTGCGTGGACGGCTCGGGCCGTGCGCGCCAGGCTGCCTGCTGCGTGGCACGCCCGGGCACGCCGAGCCTGCTGCGCTTCGCGCTTGCGTCGCTGCTGCAGAGTGCGCCAGACGTCAAGGGCCGCGTGCGCTGCCTCACCGCCGGGCCCGAGGTGGCGGCGCAGTTGCCTGCAGTGCGCCAGCTGCTGCCCTGTGCGCGCGTGCAGATCTGCCGCGCGCAGGGCCTGGAGACGCTCTTCAGCAAGGCGCAGGAGCTGGGCGGCGCCGGCCGCGAGGACCCCGGCCTGTGGTCGCGCCTGTGCCGCCTGGCTGGCGCGTCGTCGCCTGCCGCCTACGACGAGGCGCTGGCCGAGCTCCACGCTCACGGCCCGGCCGCCTTCGTGGACTACTTCGAGCGCAACTGGGAACCCCGCCGCGACATGTGGGTCCGCTTCCGCGCCTTCGAGGCGGCCCGAGACCTGGACGCGTGCGCCCTGGTGCGAGGCCATCGCCGGCGACTGCTGCGCCGTCTCAGCCCCTCGCGTGGCGTGGCACAGTGCCTTCGCGACCTAGTGGCCATGCAGTGGGCCGACGCGGCCGGAGAGTCGGTGCCCGAGGGGCCCGATGGTGGGGGGCCGTGGCTGGAGGATGAGCCGGGGAGGGGGGCCCAGGTGGAGAACGAGAGGGTGAGGGGCCTGGAGACAGGCGACTGGGGAGGGGCTTCGAAAGAAGGAAGTATTTGCAGGGGGGCCCAAATGGAGAAGGAGTGGGCAAGAGCACTGGAAACCAGAGACTGGGGCGGGGCTCAGTTCGAAGGTGAGAAGGGGAAGGCACTGCAGATCAGAGATTGGAGAGGGGGCCAGTCGGAGAATCAGAAGCCGAGGGGACTGGAAGGAGGTGTCTTGAGAGGGTCGCAGTTGGAGAAAGGGCACCTGAAAGGGCCAGAGATTAGAGACTGGAGGGGGCCCCAGTTGGAGGGTGAGAAAGATTGGGGACTGGAAGGTTATGTCTGGAGGGGGCCCCAAATGGAGGACCAGGCGCTACGAGGATTGGAAGGATATGCCTGGAGGGTGGCCCAGTTGGAGGATCGCAGCAGGGCGCTGGAGACCACCGACCTGAGGGGGACCCAGTTTGACTATGAGAGGGTCAGGAGTCTTGAAGGAAGCCCCTGGAGGGGGGCGCAGCTGCACGATGAAAAGGCAGGGGGACTGAGAACTGCAGAATGGAAGGGGCCACAGTCAGAAGTAGAGAAGGGGAGGGCGCTGGAGGTCAGAAACTTGAGGGGGATCCCCTTGGAGAAGTCCCTGGAGTTGGCCCCTGAGAACGGAGACCCAAGGGGACCCCAGTGGGAAGATGAGAGGAGGAGAGGGCCAGAGATTGCAGAGGAGAGGGGAGCGAGGGTGGGAGCCAAAAGAAGAAGGGGCCTGGAGGATATCGTTTTGGTCCAGCTGGGAGACACGAGGGTCACAGGCGTGGAGAATGGAGATGGAGGGGGAGCCCGGTCTGTGGGCCCCAAGAGCCGAGCTGGACGAGGGATGGAGTGGGGAGACGCGGGAGGGCGGTGTCTAGGGCTGGGGAATGGAGTCGTGTGTGGCACCCCGGTGGGGACTGTATTGGAAGGCAGCCCAGAATGGGCAGTGGTGAGGAGCGAACACCTGGCTGCAGGTGATGGCCTGCAGGAAGGAGGCGAAGATGGCCCCAGGGAACCAAAGAGGCTTTGCCGGCCCCCAGGAGAGGAGGAGGTGGACTGGGAACCCCTGGCCAAATTCCGAGCAGCCTGCGGGCCAGAGCTGGCAGACCTGGTGGCTGAGGAGTTGGCCTTTGCTAGGCAGCATGGGACCCGGGGTTTCCACTGGACCGGAGCTGGTTTCGCCCTTAAGGACGGCACCTCGGACTTCTTCCTGGATGGGGCCCTGACACGCTGCAGCTGCTCAATCCATGCCGCCCGCCGTCTGCCCTGCAGACACCTCTTTGCAGCGCGCCTCCTCACTGGGGCAGCCTTATTCCACATGGACCTGCTCAGGGATTGCTGGGGGAGAGCCCCGGAGCCCTGACCCTTCATGCCTCTGCCCACCACCCTCCACCGGGAGGGTCGGAGGGCATTCTTCGATCCCAAAGATAATAGGGCTGAGGCCAAGGAGACCACTCCAGTCCCCCTGGCCACCTCCTGGGTCATCCAGGGACCTCCTCATGGCAGTTTGCCTCTCTGGGTCCAAGGGCAAGGTGACAGTGGTCTCTGAGGTCCTGGAGCCACAGCTGCGGAAGGTGTTGATGGCCAGGGCGGATTCTGAGGGCTTCCCTCTGGAGAGGAAGCATGTGATGAGAGGTGTAGACAGGGTCAGGCTGGGGCAGAAGGAAGGAAAGGGGCAGAGCTGGGGGGAGGGGGAGGAAGCGATGATACCGGGAGTGTCTGGCAAGAGTAGACTGGCCAATCTAGGGAGTGCAGGGGGAGACAGGGAAAGGGAGAAAGTACAGAAGACAGACGAAGGAGAGGAGATAAGCGAGAAAAGATGGAAAGGGGAGCGGGAAATGGAGGAGAGAGGACAAGAAATGAAGAGACAGAAATGAAGACATGAGGAAAAGCTGGGGGAAGCAGGAGTGGAAGGGACAGGATGTAGGAGGGGGAAGAAAAATTGGAGATGAGACAAAGGAAATGCGTAGGAGATGGGTAGAGAAGAAACGGAAGGGGCGTGGTTTTGGTTTTTCTCTAAGACCTGGAGACATCGACCCCCTTCGCCTTCTGAAGAGAGAGGGAGGGGGGGCACTGGGGATTGGGAGAGTCTCCAGCAGGGGAGGGGAATTGTTTGGACTATTGTGCTTCAGAATTGGAATAAAACAATCTTATTTTGGTTTCCGTGATGAGTTCTTGGCTTCTGGGGTTGGTTGGGAGTCCCAGATCCAGGGAACAGTTGAGATGGTCCAGCGTTCCTTCATTCTTTCTACCAACAAGGCCTCCTGGGGCCAGATGGATAGAGGAGCCTCAATGAATTCATCTCCATTGCAACTCAAGCTGCTTCCTCCATCATCTGGACCAGTACGTCCCAGTGGCAACTTCTTGACATGAGTCAATTCCACCTTCAAATGACTGACTCATGCCAAATGCCCCGGCCACAGAATGGACATGCGACCCAGTCCTGGTCAACGAGTCTGCTCAGGTTGAGGTGGGAGGCTTCTTTTTTTGTTGTTTTTATATTTTTGTAGAGACAGGGTCTTGCTATGTTGCTCAGGCTGGTCTTGAACTCCTCGGCTTAAGCAATCCTCCTGCCACAGCCTCCCAAAGTGCTGGGATTACAGGTGTGAGCCACTGTGCTCAGAACGAGGAGGCTTTTCTTTTTTTTTTTTTTTTTTTTTTTTTTAGATAGAGTCTTGCTCTGTTACCCAGACTGGAATGCAGTGGCACGTTCCCAGCTCACTGCAACCTCCACCTCCCAGGTTCAAGCGATTTTCATGCCTCAGCCACCCAAGTAGCTGGGATTACAGGTGTATGCCATCACACCTGGCAAATTTTTGTATTTTTAGTAGAGACGGGGTTTCACCATGTTGGCCAGGCTGGTCTGAAACTCCTGACCTCAGGTGATCTGCTCACCTCAGCCTCCTAAAGTGCGGGAATCACAAGCGTAAGCCACTGCGCCCGGCCTAGGAGGCTTCTAATAAAGATTCTGTCACTCCTAAGAAGTCCTAGAGACATGATCAGGCCTAGACCTGCTGATGATTACCTTGGTATGGTGTGATAATGAAGTCCACACTGAAGATGACAGAGCTGAGATGAAGAAAATCGGGATCTTTGCTTGGCTTAGTTGAGTCTCTGGAGTCTGCTCTACCATGGGGCTTCTTAAGTAAAATATATCTTTTTTTGTTAGAGACAGGGTCTCGCGCTGGCCCAGACTGGAGTGCAGTGGCACAAACATAGCTCTCTGCAGCCTTCCAACTCTTGGGCTCAAGGATCCTCTGGCTCAGCCTCCTGAGTAATTAGAACTATAGGCTCATGCTACCACCTAGCTAATTTCTCTTTCTCTTTCTTCCTTTTTTTTAATGTTACTTGGGCTGTTCTCAAACTCCTGACCTCAAGCAATGCCCCCGCTTCAGCCTCCCAAAATGCTGAGATTACAGATGTGAGCCATTGCACCTGGCCAATCAAAGATACCCTAATGATTTAGGGAAGTTTGAGTTGGGGTTTCTGTTGTCGCAACTGATGAAGGGGATTTAATTCTATTACAGGTCGACAAAGTCCAGGTTGAAGTAGCTCAGCACTTTTCAAACTTTAGTGTGGACATGAGTCACCTGGGCACCTTTTTAAAATACAGAGTTGGATTCAGTAGGTCTATAAGATGGGGCCCAAAATTCTAGCAAGCTCTCCAATGATGTGGTTGCTGCTGGATTGTGGAGCAGACTTTGAGTAGCAATGAAGGAACTCAAGATAAAAGACAATTCAGGCCGGGTGTGGTGGCTCACACCTGTAATCCCAGCACTTCGGGAGGCTGAGGCGGGCGGATCACCTGAGGTCAAGAGATTGAGACCATCCTGGCCAACACACATGGTGAAACCCTGCCTCTACTAAAAATACAAAAATCAGCTGGGCATGGTGGTGCGCCTGTAGTCCCAGCTACTCGGGAGGCTGAGGCAGGAGAATCGCTTGAACCCGGAAGGCAGAGGTTGCAGTGAGCTGAGGTGGGTCCACTGCACTCCAGCCTGTGTGACAAAGTAAAATTCCATCTCAAAAAAAAAAAAAAAAAAGAAAAAAAAAAAAGAAAGAAATGCAGATTCTCAGACCCACTCCAAAACTATGGAATCAGAATCTCATTCTAACAAGATCCTAGTATGCATGTTATACTTTGAAAAGCAAAGCGACTGATCATAAACCTACAATTATCTGAAATAGGCTTTTTTTAAAAAATGAAAGCAGCTACTCTTGATAAAGTAGCTGATTTTCTTTGGGCTTGCCCACATATCAGGAGTCATCTGGCTTTTGGGTGAACTAAAAAGGCCTTGTCGGGGCTTGGTGGCTCATGTCTGAAATCCCAGCACTTTGGGAGGCCAAAGTGGGAAGACCGCTTGAGCCCAGGAGTTTGAGACCAACCTGGGCAACATAGGAAGACCCATTTCTACAAAAACTAGAAACAAAATTAACCTGGTATGGTGTTGCACACCTGTGGTCCTAGCTACTCAAGAGGCTAAGTTGGGAGGATCACCTGAGCCCTGGAGGTCGAGGCTGCAGTGAGCCATGATTGTGCCACCGCACTCCAGCCTGGGTGACAGGGTGACAGCGTGAGACTCTGTCTCAAAAAATGCCTTGGCTGGGAGGACTAGGGTAACTCATTCAGCACGTAGTCCCCTCCAGTACAACCCTATGAAACTTCCCTCCAGCCCCTGCCTCTGCAGACAGCTCTTCCTCTGCTGTGCTGCCCATTGCTTTCGTGTAATGTACTTTCTGTCTAATAAATCTGCATTTCTTTCCCTATGACTGTCTTGGTAAATGCCTTTACCTCCCACGACACTGGCCCCAGCTAGTCACACCCGCAACACCCATCTCTTAAAATAAAAAATTTAGAAAAAAAAAAGGAAGGAAAGAAAGAAGGAAGGAAGGAAGGAAGGAAGGAAGGAAGGAAGGAAGGAAGGAA